CAGGTACTCTTTTATAAACTTAGGATAAAAGTACCCTGTGGCCCAATCAAGTTGTCACATAAAGTTAACCATCATAACACCATTTGGTGGAGATAACAGTAGTAATTTTAAAGGTATGACCTTTATCAATGGTGGTGGTAACATGTTGGTGTGTAATGGTAGGGAGACATCGAAGTCTAGAGTTGAGAAATACAAGTAGGTTAGCTGACCCTTGAATATTTCTCCACTTCTACTCCCCCATATCCCTCAATGATTCTGATATAGATTTAAATGTAAGAAAAGGTACAATATAATGCATCAGAAAAATATGTGCTACCTTAAATGTAAAAACAAGTGAGTGATATGAATGCCCTTATTTTCTTTTTATGCATAGAAATCTTGTAACAGACAACAATGTTTATATATAACAGGCGTGAGAAACAGGTAGAGAAGATGAAGGTGAGGTGATTTTTCATTGTTCACCCTCATTGTGTGTATATGTGTACATGTTAGTATTATTATCCTTGGGGGGAGGAGTTTAGAGGATGTCTCCTCTCCTCATCCCTAGTCAACAACCTCCCTTAAACCCAAACCAGTGAAATTATAAGAAAAAGACATTAAAAGCATCCACATTGAAAAAGAAGGAAAGAAACTGTCTGTTTGCAGGTTACATGATAAATTATATACAAAATCTGAAAGAATTTACAAAAAAGCTACTAGATATGTTGAGTATAGTATGATCACAAGATCATAAGTTAACAATACAAAAATCAACTGTATTTCCATATATTAGGAATAAACAAATGACATTCAAAATACAATGTACAGTATCATTTACCAAAAAGAGAAAAAGAAGAAAAATAAGTATGACCCAATAATATATTTCAGGATCTGCATAATAAAAAAGATAAAATGCTGATGAAAGATGACTTAAGTTAAAAAGGTATAATATAATACAAGAATTCAGATAGCAATAGCATGCCCATGAATTGGAAAACTCAAAATTGTTGAATCTATAGGTCTAATGCAATCCTAATTAAAATCACACAGGCATAAACAAAAGCATAAACAAGCTGATTTTAAAATATACACAGAATAACAGAAGAATTAGAAGAGCTAAAATAAAATTTTTAAAAGAAAGTTACAGGATTTGTACCACCTAATTTCAAGATTATAAATCTATAGTAACCATGACAGCAAGGTATTGGTTAAAGGGTAGACACATAAATCAATGAAAAAGAATAGAAAGCTCAGAAATAGACCTATATAAATATGGTCAAACTGATTAGTGCCAAAGGTGTAAACACAATAAAAAAAGGATAATCTTTTCAACAAATGGTGCAAAAAATTGTATCAGAATACATACTTCACATCTTATAGAAAAAATTAACAATATGTGTCACAGACCTAATATAGGAGCTAAATTTATGACCTTGAATGGTAGAGTTTTTAGATATGACACCAAAAGTATAGATTGGACTTTATCAAAATTTATGAAAGATACTGCTAAGAGAACAAAAATATAGGGAGAAAATATTTTCACTTCACCCGTCTCAAAAAAGATCTGTATCTAGGGCCCTCCCTGGTGGCGCAGAGGGTTGAAGCACAGCACTGAGAGCCTTGTCACTTCCGCATGGATCCCTGGAGGTGACCACATGGCGTGGCAGACCTCTCCTGGCCAGCCCACTGCTCCCCTCAGCATTGTGCTTTGTGGATCTGCCTGTTCTGCTCCCCACTCTGTCTCTGGTGAATCCTCTCACCCTCCGCATCTCTGGCCTGTACCCCAGTTCTATATGAATAAATAAATAAATAAAATCTTTTTTTAAAAAAAAGATCTGTATCTAAAACACAAAAGGAACTTGTGAAAACAATATTTTTTTTTAATTCAGAAGGCAAATAAGCATAGGAAAAGATTCTCAGTATCATCAGACATTAGGGAAATACAAGTTAAAACTACGATATTCTGGGCTCTCCCTGGTGGCACCCCCACCCCCCAGCCAGAGAGCTGACCCACATGGTGAGGCAGACCTATCCTGTCCCACCCGCTGAACCCCTAAGCAGTGTATTTCAGTAGACCTGCCTGTTCTGGTCCCCACTCTGTCTTCTCACCCACCACACCTCTGGCCTGTACCCCAGTTTTGCAAACATAAATAAATAAATCTTTTTAAAAAAACTACAATATTCTATTTTATAGCTATATGAATATATAAAATATTAAAAACTGGTAATAATAAGCACTGACAAGGATATGTAACAAGTGGAACTCTTACACTGCTAGTGGGAACAAAAATGGTAGTCACTTTCAAAAAACAGTTTGACAGGTTCTTACAAAGTTAAACATACTACACAATCCAAGATTCCTACTCCTAAGTATTTATTCAATGAAATGAAAATTTATGATCAGGTAATAACTTTAATATGAATGTTAGCTTTATTCATATTCACCAAAAACCTTCCAGAAGCCAGTCAACAGGAAAACAAACTACAGTATATGCACTCAGTGAAATATTTAGTGATAAAAAGGAACTAACTATTGACTCATACAACTACATGGATGAAATGTATATATATTTTGCTAAGTAAAAGACAAACCTCCATGGCTACAGAGTATGTTTGCATTTATATAAAATTCCATAAAAGACAAGGGGGTGGAGTGCACAGGGCTATGGTGATGGTACACAGGCAAATTGGTGATGGGAAGTCCACAGGGATTACAACTGAGATGGAGAAAGGCACAGAATGATGTAAAAGTAAACTATTATAATAATAATAATAAAAAATCCGTAAAAGACAAGCCATAGGGACAGAAAACAGAGCCTTTGTTTTCAGGTTTTAAAAGATGGGGAAGGACATGACTACAAATAGTTAATGCTAGGGGTTAATGTTAAATGGTTAATGTTAGTTTAGGGGGTGATGGAACTATTCTATGTGGTCTGAAATGGTGGGCACATGCTTCTATTTGTCAAAAGCAACAGAACCTCACATTATAAAGAGGATATTTTATATGTACAAATTTCTTAAATAAGTGATGCATTGAGGGGGAATAAGACAGGAGTTAGCCTAAGTAACTTTGTAAAAGTGTTTTGACTACATCCTTTAAGGGTAAAGACTAACCAAAAAAGTATACAAACATCAACTTCCATGATCATAGACTAAAAAATGACCCCCCAAAAGATATCTATATTCTACTCTTTGGAATCTGTGAATATAACTTGATATGGCAAGGAAAAAGGAGGAAGGTCATTCATTGCAAATGTAATTAAATTAAGGAACTTGAGTTGGGGAAATTATCTGAATTACTGATCCAGGGAGATCCTAAATGCAACCACGCAGCCTTGTAAAATGGAAGCAGGAAAATACTTCTTACATAGTAAGAAGGTGACATGAAGACAAAACAGGAGAAAAATTTGTAATGGTTAATTATGTGTTAATTTGGTTAGGCTATGGTATCTAGTTTAACTAAACATTCTAAATGTTACTATCAAGGTACTTCTTAAATGTGATTATTTAAATCAGCAGATTTTTAGTAAAGCACATAACTATCCTTAATGTGGGTGGGTTTTATCTAATCAATGGAAGGCCTTAAGAATGAAGGTGGGTTTCCTGAAGGAGAAACTTGGCATCAAGTCTGTAACATCTGCCTAAATTTCCAGCCTGCCTGATCTGCCCACCAGATTAAAGGCTGAAGAGCACAACACAGACCGTTGCCTGCATTTCTAGATTGCCAACTTCACCTACACATTTCGTATTCACAACCTTCATAATCATGAAAGTCAATTCCTTAAAATAAACTAGCTAGCTAGCAGATGATAGATAATCGCTAGTTATAGATAGGTATGCTTGCCATTGCTTATTTCTCTAAATCCTAATACTAAAAAATAGCCCTGAAAATGAGTGAAGAGAGTAGAGATCAGCTTTGAGTTTTTATGGTGATTTAGGAGTAGGTGCATTAGCAAGAATTAATATACATGGTCTGAACTTCCCAGTAGCATCAAAGGAGGAAGTGCCCAGGCATTGTTATGAGCTTGAACTGATGTGGAGGGAGCAGGAGGACAAAAAACAGGTGAGGATTAAAATATGTCATCAGTCATGGAATAGGACATGGAGTGAGACTTTATTACTTCTTAACAATACACCTAAGTTAAAAAGCACAAAAAAGACATTGGGCTGTATGTTTATATAATTCCACCAAATTTTATATATATTCACTGACTCTTTGAACTGACTGATGGACAAATACTTCATATAAAATTTAATTTTAAAGTTGTTGAAGCCAGGAAACAAAATTTTAAATGTTTTCTAGAAGGTTTACATGAAAATCATATTAACACTATTACCACTAATGCAGCCATTCTATTTTTAGAAAATTTTCCAGGATAATTTCACACCTAAGTTTCTTCCACTGAAGATATTAAAATAACTGAAAAATTTAATTTTACTATATGATATACTAGAAAAAAAGAACATTTTACTCACTATCAGTAACAAATTCTTTGAGATTATTATTAAAGCACCACTGTGCCCACTGCAACAACAAAGAATAAGAGCATCACAGTAATTTTAGAATCATTTTTGGTACAAAGTAAAAAGTACACCTCACTGCTAATTCTGCACAGTTGCTGCTAAAGACCTTTTGATGGCCTGTAGTTCTTGTTCTTATCAAATAATTTAGCATACTACCAGAATGAAACAGGTTCCAGGGAGAAGCAGGTTTAACATTTTTACAATTATGATTAACTGGAAAAGCATCAAATTCTACTTAGACTAATAACAACTCTTGTCTGAATATGGCTTTGAAAGTCAAGACCCAAAAAACAATGATAGCTAATTCAACAAATAAAATTAGATGGCAAGACTAATTTTTTTCAATATTTAAATAAATAGAATCAAATTATATAACTATGGTAACCTGTTAATGCTTAACTAACAAAAGAAAGTTGATCTTCATATTTTAAGAAATATAAATGTATGCTTAGATGATTACAGAGAAATAAAATAATTCAAGGAAATTAGTCATTACTTCAAAAAAAAGTAAACTGTGTTGTATTTTGTGAAGATGGAAACCCTTTTACAGCAGAAGGTACTGTGCTTTGATTCTGATCAAATGAAAATGGAAAACTAAAATCATCTTTTCCAGTTGAAGAGTCTGATGGAAAAGAAAATGTAAAGGCCTCTTCTCTTTCTGGTTTCCCAAATAAGTTTCCTAAGAAAAATAAATATTACAGTTACCATGCTATTCTTGTTATATTATTTACATAATCTACTAAATTATAGTATATTACATACAATAAGTGGGGTAGTATTGAATCATTTGTTTATTAAGTAGATATTTAACTATATTCCTCTTATATGTAAAGCACTGTCATTGGTACTATGGAAGGCTAAAAAAATTCAAATTTATACAGAAAATCCAAGTAATCTGAACTCAGGTATACATAGTCCTAGTATATAAGGTAGAAAAATGAATAAAATACTTCAAATGGAACTAAGTGCACTGAGGTAAACTAACAGATATGTACAGGAAGTATAAGGGTATAGGAAATCAATTCAGTTTGTCATTAATAAAGTAAATTATTACGCATGTCAGTATGTCTAGGTGCTGTGGAGATTTCAAAGGTAAATGAAAACAAAAGCCCCAGCCCTCAAAGAACCTGCAGTTAAATTAAAAATAAACACACACACACACACACACACACACAAATGCATTCACAAATAATGACAGGCAGTAGAACAGGTTACATAAGAAGAGAGACTCAGTAAAGTAAGAGAGAGTTCTTTCTTGGAATAGAATAAATGTTGAAGAGGGAAATAAAAGGTTCCATGGAAGAGAGGTCTTGAAAATATGTTTAGGAAGAGACTGAAGCTGAAGATTTCAGAAGTAAAAAGTGGGTAAGAAAAGTGTATTTGCAATGCAATGAGTTAATAGTCAAGCCGAAACAGAAATTATTCCTATAAAAGAACAGATTTAAAATATATGCATGTTATTTAGAAGGTAGTATTCAGAAAGGGAAAGAATTGGATTGGAATGTAACAAAAGCAAAATGATAGGCATTCCAGAATCAATGTACACTAGAATGTAAGCTCCATGATTGGAGGGACTTTGCTATTGAATGCATACAACCACTGACTATATATGTAGGGGTGTGCTCAGTTACTTGCTTGTTAGATATCACCAGGAGAAAATATAGACTATATATACATCCAGAAGAAGCAGCCTGAAAAATAAAGTTAATTCAGGGAAGTGAATTTAAAAAAAAGTTTCAGCTACATTAGGAAAGGAGTATACTTTTGACAGTCCATGGGGAGTCACAGAAAGAATTTAACTAAGGCAGTGACATGATCATCATCATGCCTAAGGAAGATTAATTAAGCTGTAATCTACAGGTAAGCTATAAGGATCTACTTTATAGGTGACATATAGGTAAACTGAAAGGATGAAAAGACCAATTATAATGTTAGCGTCAACATCTGAGGGAATGGTAGTAAGAGATTAAAATATAATAAAATGATTTCAATGAAAACTGAATAAAAGAAATATGACAGAGAAAGCTGATAAAAGCTGATGATTAGCTGAATAAAGTCATAGGCATGGAAATAAAATTACTACTAATATGCTCAATCCTGGCACCTAGAATAATGGAAATATTAAATACATCAGAATGAAATTTTTATTTCAACTATGCCGAATTTTCAATGCCAAGAGATCTCTTTATAAAAATATGTTAATTACTCAAGCAGAAATAAGGTCTTAGAATTTAGGAGAAATTAAGGAATGAAGATATAATTTTGATCATCACTTGCATTATAATATTTGAAGCACTTATGTGAATGAGCACTGAATGAGATTACTAAAAAAGAATATAAATATCTAGCATTTTTGAAGGAAGACATTTAAAACTGTCCACAATTGGTAGATTTATTCTGGTTTCATAGCATTAAGTACCATTTATGTCAATTCCAAAATTTATGTCTCTATTCCACTGAATACCAAATTCATATACACAACTTCCTACTTTATTTTCACTTATATATATGTGTGTTTTTCAATTACAACACTTCTAAAACTAAACTCCCAGCTTCTATCTCAAATTAACTTCTATAATTTTCCATATTTTAATAAATGGCCATTTCATTCTTAAGTTATCTATGTCAAAGACTTGACATAATCCTTCACTTTTAATCCTTCCTTACAATCCATAAACAAAACTTTATAACTCTACCTTCAGAAACCCTAATGACCAAAATTTAACCCTTTCACCATTTCCATTGTTACCAACCTCACCATTAATTCTCACCTATATTATTTAATAGCTTCCAAATTAATCTCCCTAATTTCTAGAAAATCCAATCCATTCTCCATACAACAGCCAAATAATTCTTTTAAAACCTGTAAGATCACTGCTACCAGTTGCTCCTTCCTTATTTGATTCCAATAACATCAATGTACCTGTTCAATGAACATGTTCAGCATGTTTCCACCTCAAGGCTTGTGCACTCTCTGCCTAAAACACTTATCCTAGCTACTTATACCTATACCTTGTTCAGGTCTCTACTCATAAGTTGCTTTTTTTTTTTTTAAAGATTTATTTATTTGTGCATACAGAACTGGAGTACAGGCCAGAGGCTCAGGGGTGGTGAGAGGCTTCACCAGAGACAGAGTGGGGAACAGAACAGGCAGATCGACGAAGTACACTGCTGAGGGGAGCAGCGGGCTGGTCAGATGTCTGCCACGCCATGTGGTCACCTCCAGGGCAGGTGGGAATCGAACTCATGCAGAAGCGGCTTTAGATTCTCAGTGCTGTGCTTTAACCCACTGCGCCACCAGGGAGGGCCCCATAAGTTGCTTTTAAGTGATGCACTTCCCTGATTCTGTTGTAAACATAGCAATCATCTTCCAATCCAAGTAGTTCCTAGTCTCCTCACTCTCCTTTATTTTCTTTTTCATACTTATTACTACCAGAGAGTAATGTATTACCATCAAGCCTGGCTGATCTGATTCACCTGGAAGACCTTTTCTTATACAACACAAAATAAAGATAGGATTTTGTGTCTGCCTTTACTATGTGTGTTTGCACCTGAATTAGAACTGTGAATCTGTATATAGGCCTGCATCTCAATATTAAAAGACTAGTAGGAAACTGAGGTGGCAACATTTTTGTTTCAAGGTGACCTACATGAAGCATGTCTTTTGTTCACCCTAGTCCTACATGTGCCATATGGGTGAGAAGCGAAAGAAAGCTTATTACTTGGGTAGTTGAGGGGCCTCTCAATGAGATAAAAATGTTGTACATGCTGATATATCTAGTACTGCATCTTTGTATAAATCTAAATAACCTACTGTTAGATTAAATGTTGCAACATGAGTCTACTAATTCAAAAATATGCCAACTGTTTAGTGCACAACTTCACATGTTAAATAACTATTTGTTTATTTTCAGTCTCTCACTACAATATAAGAACTTTGCTTTCTTGTTTACTGTTCTATGCCAGAGTCAAAAACAGTTCCTGATATAACATGTACTATGTATACAGATATGTAAATATTTTGAATGACTTAGTAAAAATTAGATCAAATAAAAAGTACCAGAGATAGAAGGAAATTTAAAAAACTCCAGAAAGATGAGAATAGTCAACATATCCAATGCTAAAAAGACTGAGAATGATACTAAGTACAAAATACCTATAATGCTGGATAGTTGGGAAATCAGTTAGCAATTATGGGAGAAAGCAAATTTTGCTGGAGTAGTGAGAGAAGCTAAACTGCAAAACTCAGTAATAATCAAGAGTGGTACAGAAGAAGCAGTAATTTAAGAACTGAGCACCTAAGAAAATCAGTCATAATCAATAGGATACAAAGGGGGAATGTTAAAATATTTTTATATGTGCCCTCCCTGGTGGCCTATGGGTTAAGTCTCAGTGTGATCATCACAACAGCCTGAGTTTGATCCCCAGCCAGAGAGCTAACCCACATATGGTGCACAAGACCTCTCCTGTCTCACCCACTGCTCTCTGCAGCAGTGTATTTCAGTAAATCCAGCTGTTCTGTTTCTCACTCTGTCTCTGGTGACTCCTCTCAACCCCCACACCTCTGGCCTATGTCCCAATTCTCCTATGCAAAAATAAGTAATAATAAAAAAAATCACTTACCAGTTTCATTTTGTGATGAGAGAGGATTTAAATTTCCAGAAGAATAATGTTCATTAAACTGAAAAGTAATTTTCATTTAATATTATATCACTAGAAGAGTATATAATGCATTTAAATTAGAATAGACAAAATAAAAATATTCTATATCTACAGAACATTATTCCACTTTAAAAAAGTTGATCTCTAAATTCTATCATTTATTTATATTAACATAAGGTCTCATGACTTGATTCTGACAATTGTCAAAATTTTAATGTACCACATTAATTTTACTGCCATAACTATAAGGATAATTCCTAGTTTGGAAAGTAAATATAAGTACACAGGTATTTAAAATACTATGTAGTCAACCATTTTTCCAGTAATTTTTGTAGTTTTATTTATCCCTATTAAGGCTAAAACATGTATTTTACATTAATAACTACTACAAATGAGATTTTAATAACTGAAGTCTATTTATTCATGCCCAGCATGTACACATCTTCTAGAAATTACCTGTTTTTGAAATAAGCATTTAAACTAAAGTTGAGACAAAAGCTGAATGTATGAAATACTATGAAATGTACAATAGTTTATCATCCACAATATATTCCTAATTTCAACAATTTGATGACAAGATTACATTAAAATTTTAATTCAAATAACAGTGGCTAAGTATGACTAATAACAATAATAATTATTAGATAACACTGAAAATCATAGTATTACTATCTGGTTAGAACTTTGCTAATATTTTATGTATATAAACTCAATATTCACACTTTATGGTAAAATTATTACTTCCATTCTAAGGGTAAGAATTCCCAAATCCCACATTTAGTACATCTCCACATAAAATGGCTTCAGAGTCTAGTCTCAATCACCACTATGTGGTTAACAGATAAATACAGTACTTTATGTAGAGACAAATATGCTGTCACTACTGATCAAATAAAGGAGGTTGTAATTTTCGCTTTCAATTGCTCAATACAGAAATAAGCATTCTCATGATCTTTATCTCTGACCAATAGAAATCACCAATTAGGAGGTAATTCTTCTAAATTAGCCAATGGTAATGTTGCAATGTGTACATCAAATGCAGATGCAATTACTAAATAATAAGCTGGAATTTTTTTGACATAAAGGATATATTAAGTCTGTTTAGTTTTTAGACACATGAACTATAAAGCCCTATGAATTTTGAAACTGCCTGAACTGCCATTTAAATCATCATTACATTAGTATATACATACGTTGATTTGGGGTACCTGAAGCTGAAAACAAAAACTTTTATAAGGAATTTTACTATAACATTAATATCAGAATATTAATTGCCTGTTTTGTGCTCTGCCCCTACACAATTTGGTTCTAAAGAAATAAAATTACTTAAGGTTTTCAGTATACAATTTTCTTAGAAATGAAATTTTAGCTTCTCATATTACCTGATATGATGATGTTTCTGAATCAAATACAGAAGAGTCAAACAGATTCAATCCAGGTGATCTAGATGTATAACTTGTAAGAAAAGAAAATGCAGGGGATTCTTTCTGTGTTTGACCTTCAGGAATTGTATTTCTATTTCTGTTACAGAGAAACAAGAAATTATCAAAATGCTAAAAATCTATTATTTCTTATTGCTGGCTGCTAAGCACCATAAGCGATAACACAAAGGCAAGAATTATCACAGTATGTAAAGGGAATAAGTAATCATTCAAGTGACAAGCCTATGGAGCAAAAAGATGGTTTGGGATGGAGGATAATGTGAAAGTAGAACAATCAATTATGGAATAATGATACTGAATTCTTACTGAGCATTTACTGTCAGGTTCTAGTCAGCATTATCATACTTATTCCTCACAATAATGCTATGAAATAGATATTATCATCACTTCCATTTAATTAATATAAGAGGATTCTGAAGCATAACAAAGTTAAATGATTTGCTCAAAAGATACAAGTGGCAGAGTTGGAACTTGAAAGAAATAATCCAGATTAAAGATTCAGTTCTTAAATCTAATACTATACGGACAGGTTTTAGCATGACTATCACATCTCTTTGGCATTCTCTGATTTCATGATGAGGTTCACTTTGAACATCATGTATCTGAGTCAACAACATGACATACATATATAAATGAATACTATACACTGAAAATGGAAGTAGAACACAGGTTGCAGACCCCTGACATAATGACATCTATTTGACATACGGTTTAGAGGAATCTCAGTGTTCAAAATTAAGGAACAGATTGAACCAAACAAAATGTTAAATGCAGCACAACTTCTTCAGCTGAAAACTACAAAATCTATTTTTTCCAAAATTAAATAACCAACTTGGAGACATTTAGATCTACTGGAGTGGCTTAACAGAATCGCAACTCTTGCTTTTGACACATAATGTTTACTGAAACATTATACAAAGTCCCAAATTTACCAGTAATAGTAGCTTTTTAGTTTGACATTTAACATTTATCCATTTTTTTATCCTTTAGAAAAATTTTAATCTATATATTGTTACACTCAGCAAGTACTCAGGATTATGCTATTTTTAGCTAAGTGTTGCAGGAAAAATGAGGATAACCTGTGCCATAAAACAAGAATGATAAAATATTAGTAATTGTTTAAACATGGTGTTAAGTACATAAAGGTTATTGTTCTAGTCTCTCCTTTATATATTTGAAATATTACATGATAAAAACTATTTAAAGCAACAGTTACTAAGCATTTTCTATTCCTATCAATTATTTGTATAGTTCAACTCAATATGTAGATTCTTTACTTATAATTATTAAAATCCTACATTTCAAATGAGGTGGTTTTAGGAAACAGTAATTTCTCCAAAGATTCAGGTACTTTCACAGGTTCAGGAGTTCTTAAAAATATAGGAATTTCAGGAGTTTGTGCAAAATTCTCACTTCTTTCTTCTACTTCATCACTCTTATTTTCTTTTGACTTCCCCAAATTTTCTGTAACCTGACAATTAATCCAAAATAACAGAATTTTTAAAAGTGAACATTAATACATTAATAAACTAACACATGTAAAAATGTGTGAGGTAGAAAACATCATACTAATCTATGAGGTTACTTTCTCAGAAACAAAGACAGTGATTGATGACACTGATAATAAGTTATATCTGCATCCAATATTTTTTCACTATTATTTTATCTTCCATATCTTCTACCACTTCCTAAAAAAGTAAATAATAAACAGAACATGCTCAAATTGATGTTAAGAATTATTAAGGATAACTTTTCTCTTAAAATTTCCATATTGTGCTCTGGGCCAAAAGTTGTATGATGATACCTCCTTAAAAAGGAAAAGCAATCTGATTTCTAAACAATCTGGCGCTCATAGTTATGTTCTTTGTACCTTTTTTTTTTTTTAAGATTTATTTATTTGTGCATACAGAACTGGGGTGCAGACCAGAGGCTCAGGGGCGGTGAGAGGCTTCACCAGAGACAGAGTGGGGAACAGAACAGGCAGATTGACGAAGTACACTGCTGAGGGGAGCAGCGGGCGGGTCAGGAGAGGTCTGCCACGCCATGTGGTCACCTCTGGGGCAGGCGGGAATCGAACTCATGCGGAAGCGGCTTTAGATTCTCAGTGCTGTGCTTTAACCCGCTGCGCCACCAGGGAGGGCCTCTTTGTACCTTTTGCCTTTGTAAATTCATTACTGTCTCTCTGCAAAAGTTGAGACTCTAAATATTATTTCCTTTAGTAGATTAGAAATGTGACTTCTCAAATATTTTCTTTATACCAAATCCCATTACAAAAAAAAATTGGGTAATTCCACTATAAAAAATATGTGCACTTTATCTATATTTCTCTACAGTAGCATACCACTATGTCATTTCTCTTGTTTTAATCATTAGTAGTTATGTTAAGTTTGACACAATTTTCTATATTTACCATCATTAGAACAATTTACTACTAAAAACTTTGAAGATATTTTTGTAGCAACCCACCAGTCTTAAATTGTCTTGGCAAATTCATCTTACCAAACAAAATTGTTTTCTTCAATTATGATTTAGTTGTGGCATCAATACAGTTAATTAAGAACTTTTTGTATGTCTTTATGTAAACATTTTGCATCTTATTTTTTAAACTAAAACTCTTCTAAGGGTAGAGTTGGTAACACTATAGCAACTGAATTACCAAGCTAATAACAGCTAGTCTCATGTAAATAATCTTCATCATACAAAATCTGATATAAAATGAAGACAAAATTTAAGTTGGAATATTTAGTTTAGAGACCAAGTATTTGACTTACTTGTGAAGTACATTTTGATTCTCTTAATTGTATTACTGTTCCTTTATCTCCACTCTCAGCATCTGTTTGTTACATAAGAACTGGTTATTTTTTGCAATTTCATTGTACAGTAAAACAGACTAGTCAAACTATAAGATAGTCTGAATATTTAAACTGTTTGACTTTATATAATGGCAATTTCATATATAGTCCAAATTAGATAATAAAACCCATCTGAGTAGTTTACCAAGCAAAATTACAAGAACACCCATGTTAAATACCAGTCGAGCAAAAAACCCCCAAAGATAATGAGAACTTGTAAAGGTCTCATACTCTGTATCTTCTTCCTCAGAGGTAAGCCATGCTATGACTTCTGTGATAATCATTTCCTTGATTTTCTTTATATAGTTTCTTTATCTAACATAGTGATACACAGTACCTATAAAAATAGTTTATTAGTTCCATGATAAAATATAACATAATGAAATAATTATATATGTGCTCTTTGTTTTATTTAGCAAGTGTTTTATAAGATCTATTCATACTGTTGCATATAGAAAGTTTGCTTATTTTTACTGATGTAAAATATTTCTCTAGACATATACTCAGAAGTGTATTTACAAGGTAGAAATATGTGCACCTTCCATTTTATCAGAAGGTTTTCCAAAGCAGTTGTACCAATTTTTGTTGTAGCAACTAGATATTTTGGGATACTCTAGGAAATCACTTAATCTCACCAGACAGAATCATTAGCTCCAATTACAATTTAGATGTAGGCTCAATATGTATTAATTTATAAATAACAATTTCTATCAAAAATAGAAACATACTGTCCTACATTTTCAATAACACTATTGTCAGCTTTCCTGAAATTTGCTAATCTGGTGGATATGTAATGGAATCATATTATAGTTTTATTTTTCAGTTTCTTCACTTGCTAAGTATTTCCTCATAAATTTATCTCTCACAAATATTTCTTACTCTGAAGTGACTACTTGTGTATTTTGTACATACCTGGGCTACTTGTCTTTCTTCTTGATTTGTAGACATCTTATATACATTTTTGGAAACTAGTCCTTTGACAGTTTTACGTATTGAAAATATATATTTTGGCTTTGTGATTTGTTTTCCGTTTTTTTAAAAAAAATAGTTTTATTTATTTATGCATACAGATCTGGGGCACACGTTGGAGATGCAGGGGTGGTGAGAGACTTCACCTGAGACAGAGTGGGGAGCAGAACAGGCAGATCAATGAAGTACACTGCTGAGGGGAGCAGCAGGCTGGTTAGAAGAGGTCTGCCATGCCAAGTGGGTCACCTCTGGGGTGGGTGTGGATCGAACTCATGCTGAAGTGGCTTTAGCGTCCTACTGCTGTGCTTTAACCCGCTGTGCCACCAGGGAGGGCCCTGTCTTCCATTTTTTATAGTGTTTTTTTTTTTAAATATTTTATTTATTTATACATACAGAACTGGGATACAGGCCAGAGGTGCAGGGTGGTGAGAGGATTCACCAGAGACAGAGTAGGGAGCAGAACAGGCAGATTGACGAAGTACACTGCTGAGGGGAGCAGCGGGCAGGTCAGGAGAGGTCTGCCACGCTATGTGGTCACCTCTGGGGCAGGCGGGGATCGAACTCATGCTGCAGTGGCTTTAGCTTCTTAGTGCTGTGCTTTAACCCGCTGCGCCACCATGGAGGGCCCATTTATAGTGTTTTTTGATGAACAAAACTTCTTAATTTCATTATAGACAAATACATCAATCTCTTATAATTGGATATTTAAATTTTTATTTAAGAAATTCTTCGCTATGCTGAAATCAAGATGGTTTTCTATTTGATCATCTGCAGGTTTTCTAGTTAAACTTTGTAGTTTTGCCTCTTACACTTAAGTCATAATTACTTTCACCACATACTAACTTTTTCAAAAGACAGGAATGTAGAGTTTTTAAGATTCTTTCTTCTAAGATAATTATACACCTTCTAGGATATGGAGCCTAACCATATATACTCAATGACAACTAAGATTATGCCAGATACACACATTTCCTATATATCTATTGAGAAGCATAATGTTTCAGATTAACATCTATTCCTCCCTTGCTTCTCTATAAACTTGGCATCTATACAGGACTATAAGTAAGTGGAATATACCACCTATACAGATAAAATATAACTTTCATTCTTAAGAAAACAATACCCATCTGCATAAAATAAGCATACTGCGCTGCCTGAATAGTATATCAAGAGTGGGAAAATAGAGTCATAGTATATTATATGGCCATTTTAAATATATGTATTTAGTTACAAAATATTTGTATTGCCGGAATGAAACTTGTAAAACTTTGAAAGGAATGAAACTTGTAAAACTTCGAAATAGGAGTTGGTATTTTCAGACAAGAAGAGGTATAGACTTTTACATAGCCTAATGAGTGGAATAATTGTTATTCATTCTGGGATGCCAAAAATATGTCTACAGTTGGCCTCTGAGAAACACAGGTTTGAACTGCACAAGTCCACTTACTCACAGATTTTCTTGTAATGTTAGAGATGATGTAAATGTGCAGCATTGTCAGTACTGCACTATAAATATATTTTCTCAAGCTTTCTTTAAGAGTACAGTAGTATAAATCATGTAACTTACAAATTATGTGTTATTAAGTAGTTATATTCTGGGGCAATCAAAAGTTGTATCTGGATTTTCAACTGTGCAGGGACAGGTTTGGTACCCCTTGCCCCTGTGTTGTTTAAGGGTCAACTGTAGATGTATGGATGATGTATTTATACCTATGTAGAATGAGTTTACTTTCAAAGTTCCAATAGCTAATTGATTCTAAGATAATAAACTTATACATATATATCCTAACATACTGCTATGATTGTACTCCAAGAAAATACTCCAAGATATACTCGTAGTAAGAGATATGCAAATTAAAACCACAATGAGATACCACCTCACCCCAATGAGAATGGCACATCTTCAAACAATTAGCAACAACAAATGTTGGCAA